GGAAATTATTTTTCTAAAATGGACCGTAACAGAGAAATTAAAAAAAAAGTGTATATAATACATGTATGCATTTTTTTTATTTAAAATTATGGTGGATGCGCTTTTTTATTTTAAATAATGGTGGATGCGCTTTATTATTATAAATTATGGTGGAGGAACCTTGTTATTTCAAACTAATAAATATTTTTATGGCTAAAATAGTCATTTAAAAGAAATCAATAAAATAGAATAATAAGCCTAAAACCTATCAAATTACACACGATTTGAAATTATTTTTCTAAAATGAACCGTAACGAAGAAATTAAAAAAAAGTGTATACGGAGTGGCCCAAAAGTCTGGAAACGGCCAATTATCTCGTAAAGTGCTAGTCCTAATTGTACAAAATTTGAGGTAAACATATTAGGGTATACGGAGATTCCAGATTTGATATTTGCAATGTTGCCAGATTTTCCGTTTCTCTTATATTATTAGTAACTTTGGTTTATCAAATTGATCACCCTGTATATTAAGTCATTATTGGAATCTCCTATTCAATACGAGTTCAACCATATGAAACACTTATGATTTTATATAGTCTGGAAGGTTTTAAATAAATAAAACAATCATGGAAAAATGTGGCAAATGCACTCTATCATCGATTAGGTGCGTGTTCGTGTGCATGTGCGTGTGCGTGTGCGTGTGGGTGTGGGTGTGGGTGTGGGTGTGTGTGTGTCGCATAACTCATTAACCGATACACAGAAAAACACCAAATTTTAAACTTAAGCTTTATTCTATCGTCCAATAAACTGATTAGTTTTTGGGCAGAGTCAGAACATCTGAGGAGGTACTTTATGAGGGTCATTTTTATATTTTATGGAATATATCTGTTATTTACGTGTGGAGATGAAAATAAAAGTTACTTCTTATATTATTATCTATAATTTTTGTTCTATACAAAATTTTCCTAAAATGGTCCGTATTCGAGAAATTTGACAAAATGTAAAAATTTATTTTTTTATAAAAATTGTTCAAATAAGTTGTTTGTAATATAATTCTCTATAATTTTTATTCCATACATAATTTCTCTAAAATGGACCGTATTCGAGAAATTTGAGAAAATTGTAAATTTTGAAATTTGAAGAAAACTCAAAAACGGATAAAGAAAAAACATTAAATTTTAAACTTAAGTTTTATTTCGGCCTGACGTGAAATGATTAGATTTTGGACAAAGTCGGAACATCTGAGGGGGTACATGGGAGGCCGTTTTTATATTTTATGGAATATATCTGTTATTTATGTTTGGAGAAAAAAATTGTTCAAATAAAAGTTACTTCTAATATTATTATCTATAATTTCTGCCTTATGTCAAAATTTCCTGAAATGGTCCGTATTCGAGAAATTTGACAAAATGTGCAAAATTCTGATTTTTATGAAAATTGTTGAACTAAAAGTTGTTTGCGATATCGATCTCTATAATTTTTGTTTATACATGATTTTTCTAAAATGGGCTGTAATGAAAAAATTATAGGAAATTTAAATTTTTCAGTATTTTTGTTTTCAATGAATATTTATAGAAAAATGTTTCGAAGTAGATGTATGTGGATAATGTATTTATCCTCTAAACATTTATAGAGATGCTGCAATAGGTGGTACAAAATAATTGGAAAAAGCCTATAATAACTAGATAGGAAAGTCATGTGTTGGACACATCTGATGTTTTTTTTGTTAGAAATGGGGGTACTTCAGGGGTGGTCCCATATAAATTTGGTCAAAATCTAATGATTGGGTCCATGAGAAAATCCTCAAACTCTTAATTTTTTATGTATGTTTAGCGATAATGCTTTACCACCTTGTCCGATTTATATGATTCTTTTTTTGTTAGTAAGGGGGTACATCAGGGGTGGTCCCATATAAATTTGGTAAAGATGTGGTGATGGCAACTGCACGTTTTTGAAGTCGGTTTTTTTTAATTTTTAATTTCTAATACTTGTGTTAAAGTGATTTTATAGACAGATACTAAAATAGTCTTAGCTTGGTTAAATAGTGCTTCTACTAGGTGGACTACATTTATTCTAAATTGGGTATCTGAAATTCAGGAACTAACATGTAAGCGATATATTACTTCGGAACGCAACCCAGTCGATTTTGTTAGTAAAGGGCTGGGTCTAAGGTTATTACTTGAGTATAAAGCATATTGACATGGGCCAAATATACTACATAAGATTATGCCGAAAGAAAATAGGGCAGCTTTAGATATAGAGAAACCGATACCAGAACAAAGAGTTCTTACACATGTGAATCAAGAGAGGTTTCAAGAATCAGTGTAATTGTTTTCAAGCTTTTCAAAATTTCTGAGATTGCAGCGTGTTAGAGCGTTTTGTTTAAGATTTGTACAATTAGACGTTATGTACACTGATTTTAGGAAAGCATTTAATCAAATCCACCATGACACATTATTACAAAAATTGTTAAACTATGGGCTCTCTATGGGTTTTGTTAGTTTTTAAAAAACTATTTAGAAAATCGATTTAATATTGTAAGGTTTGGTGGAAACACATCAGGAAAGTATCATGCGAATTCTGGTGTGCCACTAGTTTCAAACCTGGGACCTCTATTGTTTACACTTTTTATAAATGATTTAGCATCTTGTGTTAGAAACTTTGAATGTTTACTTTTTGCTGACGATTTTAAGCTTTTTAGACGATTAGAAAGAGTCAGAGATTGTGTGGCGCTCCAGAAAGATATCAAAAATATTGTAGCATGGACAAAATCTAATTAAGTTACTTTTAAATATTAAAAAGTGTTGCATACTTTCTATTACACGAAAAAAACTTTCAATAGTTTTTGATTATACAATAGAACAAATATTGGAAAGACGTCTTAAAATTAAAGATCTTGGAATGTATTACGACAATCAAATGTCGTTTGTTACATTTATTAAAAAAATTGTTCTTAATGCAAATCATGCATTAGCTTTTCTTATCTGTATTTTACTTTAGTACGAACAAAATTAGAATTTGCTTCAGTAGTATGGGTACAAAAATAAATTTTTTCGATATCTTTATTATAAACAATATCATGTCTGGCCTGATTATATCGAAATAAGAACCTCTATTCTTAGGAAAGAATTTGTAGTACCTTCACTAATTAATAGACGTAAGCAATCCATGATTTTGTTTTTTTATAAAAATATCAACGATCATATAAACTGTATGCAATTATTATTGTAAGTACCATTTAATGTTCCATCAAGACGTGTCAGATCCTCATTAAAATTTAATATTTCTAAAAGTCCTCTGCAATCTCCGTTAACTCGTATCATAAGACTTGCTAATAATTTCAGTTCAATGAGCAATATAGATTGGATAATAATTGGTCATTTTTAATCTAAACATTTTAACTTTTTTATTATAAATATATCTATCAGTTTAGCACTTTTTTCTGTATTTTTCGGTTCTGGTATTTATCTGCCTCCGTAAATGTACATTGTACTTGTTAAAATTATAATTTTAGCATCATTTTATAAAATTACATATATTTGGCTGTTATGTTAAGAAAACTACTCATGTAAAATGTCCAATAGGTCGTAATTTAAACTTAGTGGGGCAAATAGCTCGGAAAGTACATTATTTTGTAATAAGTAAAAACCACATATCAAAATGCAAAATTCCAAAATTATTACATTAATTATCGAGAAGTGGTTAGAACTATCAAAGTCTACCATCTAAATATAACATTCTATTTTTAGAAAAACGACGAAATGTTAACAGTTTAAGTTTATTACATAAACTTATAAACGCATAACTTCGGTATTTCGATGAAATTGTTGAAAATTATTATCCCCGAAGCAAGAACTTGGAATAGTTTAACATTTCACACGGCAGCTGCACGTACTAGAATATTGAATAGATATCCGGATCATATTTATCTGAACAAATATAATTTAAATTGGTACAATTTCATTATTTCCTGGCGGTGTTTTCAATAATTTTCGAGATTGTTTACATTTTAAATGAAAATTATCATCGTAACATATTTCAGTGGTTTTTAGTATGTTTTATTATAATTTTGTTGCACAATGTAGTAGGTAGTATACAGAGTCCTCATTTTTTCATAGGCACAGTGATGCTGTTTTCCAAATGGTTAATGATAGCAAGTTGGTTAAATTAGACAAAAGTTGCTTATTTTTGTGCTCTTTTAGGTGTTGCCAAGATATCTACAGGGAGAGTCAAATTATAAGACAAAACCTGAAAGTTGTCATTTTTTTAAAATTTATTTTAGGAAACATTGACTAAAATCTTTTTTTTTTTTTTAGTAGCTGCTCTTCATTATTTGCACCGATTATATATTTTCTTTTGGTTAATCATGCTACATGACAGGGTACTAAAAAAAAAACAGCACATAGAAATTATAAATTGGTGTGCTGATCAAAGACATTTTATACAAAGCTTGTTTAGTTTCCTAGAAACAAAAATATTTTGAAAATTGTGACACACACATCGGATAATGAGATAGTAAAATGTCTTGCAGAAGAAATAGATCCAAACAACTTTAATGTAATCTGATATTTTTTGCAAAATTATCAGTAATAGAAGAGATCAGAAGGGAAATCATGATAAAGATCAGAAGAAAGGTTGCAAAAGATATCCGGAGAGATCAGAAGAGAGCAGAAGAGATATCAGGAGATAGATCAGGAGATAGATCAGGAGAGAAATCAGAAAAGAGATCAGAAGAGAGATCGAAAGAGGGATCATACGAAAGATCAGAAGAGATATCAGACAGGAGATCAAAGGAGATATCAGAAAAGGCATTTAAAGATATATCAAAAGAGGTATTTGAAGAGAAATCAAAAGATATATCAGAAGAGGTATTTCAACAGAAATCAGAAAAGAGATCAGAAAAAAGATCAGAGAAAAGTGCAGAATAGATATTAGAAGAGATATCTGAAGGGATGAGGGGATAGATCGGAAGGGAAATCAGGTACGAGTACCTCAAAGAGATCAAAAGAGATATCAGAAGAAATGTCAACAGATAAAACCGAAGAAAGATCAGAAAAAGGACGTAAAGAGAGTTGAGAAAAGACATCAATAGATAGGTCAGACGGTTGATAAGACGATAGATCAGAAGAAAGAGTAAAAGCTAGATCGGAACCTAGATCAGAAAATAGATCAGATAATAAGTCAGAAGATAGATCAGAAGATATATCAGCAGATATACCAGAAGGTAAATTAGAAGATAGATTAGAAGAAAGATCAGAACATAGATTAGAACACAGATCAGAAGATGGATCACAATAGAGATCAAAAAATAGATCGAAAAATGAATTAAAAGATAAATTAGAAGATATGTCAGAAGATATATAATAAGATAGATCAGAAGATTGATCAGAAGAAAAATCAGAAGATAAATCAGAAGATAAATCAGAAGATAAATCAGAAGATAAATCAGAAGATAAATCAGAAGATAAATCAGAAGATAAATCAGAAGATAAATCAGAAGATAAATCAGAAGATAAATCAGAAGATAAATCAGAAGATAAATCAGAAGATAAAACAGAAGATGAATCAGAAGATAGCTTAGAAGAAAAATCAAAAGATAGATCTAAAGAAAGATTAGAAAATAGATCAGAAGAGGTATTTGAAGAGGTCAGAAAAAAGATAAGAGAAATTATCACAATAGATATCAGAAAAAAGGTCAGAAGGGAGACAAGAAGAGGGATCAACAGAGATATAAGAGAGGTCAGAAGGGAGACAGAATAGAGATAAGAGAGGTCAGAAGGGAAGTAAATGAGAGAGATCAGAAAAGAGATCAGCAGATAAATTGGAAGATAGTTCGAAATAAGTACATAAGAGAAATCAACGGAAAACAGAAGAGAGTTTAAAAATGACATCAAAATATAGATTTAAAGCTAGATGTCTAGATAGATTCATAGAAAATAGATCAGAAGATAGATCACAAAATAGATCAGAATATAGATCAGAAAATATATCAGAAAATTGATCAGAAAATAGATCAGAAAATAGATTAAAAAAAAATAGATCAGAAAGTAGATCAGAAGATAGATAAGAAGATATATCAGAAGATATATCAGAAGATATATCAGAAGATATATCAGAAGATATATCAGAAGATATATCAGAAGATATATCAGAAGATATATCAGAAGATATATCAGAAGATATATCAGAAGATAAATCAGAAGATAAATCAGAAGATAAATCAGAAGATAAATCAGAAGATAAATCAGAAGATAAATCAGAAGATAAATCAGAAGATAAATCAAAAGATAAATCAGAAGATAAATCAGAAGATAAATCAGAAGATAAATCAGAAGATAAATCAGAAGATAAATCAGAAGATAAATCAGAAGATAAATCAGAAGATAAATCAGAAGATAAATCAGAAGATAAATCAGAAGATAAATCAGAAGATAAATCAGAAGATAAATCAGAAGATAAATCAGAAGATAAATCAGAAGATAAATCAGAAGATAAATCAGAAGATAAATCAGAAGATAAATCAGAAGATAAATCAGAAGATAAATCAGAAGATAAATCAGAAGATAAATCAGAAGATAAATCAGAAGATAAATCAGAAGATAAATCAGAAGATAAATCAGAAGATAAATCAGAAGATAAATCAGAAGATAAATCAGAAGATAAATCAGAAGATAAATCAGAAGATAAATCAGAAGATAAATCAGAAGATAAATCAGAAGATAAATCAGAAGATAAATCAGAAAATAGATCAGAAGATAGATTAGAAGATATATCAGAAAATAGATCAGAAAATAGATCAAAAAATAGATCAAAAGATAGATCAAAAGATAGATCAAAAGATAGATCAAAAGATAGATTAAAAGATAGATCAAAAGATAGATCAAAAGATAGATCAAAAGATAGATCAAAAGATAGATCAAAAGATAGATCAAAAGATACATTAAAAAATAAATCAAAAGATAGATCAGAAGAGATCAGAAAATAGTTCAGAAGATTATCGAAAGATAAATCAGAAGACATTTTAAAATATAGATCAGTAAAGAGATCCGAAGAGAGGTTAGAGAAAAGATTAGGCGAGATCAGAAAAGAAATCAGAATGGATACTAGAATAGATATCAGGAAAGTGTAATCAGAAGAAATATCAGAAGATAAAACAGAAGATAGATCAAAATAGGGGTTAGAATATTGATCAGAATAGAGTTCAAAAGAAAGATCAGATAAGAGTTTGACAGCAAAATTATAAATGGCACAAAATTAATTGAAAATATTTAATCGAATACATTTAATCGAAAAAAAAAATTAATCGAAAATAAATTTGATAGAAATATCAATTGATCGAAAAACCAAATATACATACATTTAAATATCTCTAGGCCGCACAGGTTAGGTAATTTTATTGAATTTTTTTTATAAAAAAATGTATTTACCTAACCTGTGTGAGAGCAATCAGTAAAATTTAAAAGGATCCAGGTCGCAGAGGTTAGGTAAATTAGTAAGGTTTAGAAAAAATAAATAATTTACCATCGGGAGAAAACTCGATTTTACTAAAATACATACGTTTTACGAATTAATCACAATGCTCCGAAAATATTAATTTGTAAATTAACAGTATTTTAAGGATATATTGCCTTTTCGATTTAATGAATTTTAGATCCATTGTCTTTTTGCTAATATGTAATTCGATCAAATATATCTTTGATCAACTGTTATTATAAATATTTTCGATCAATTTGTGCCACCCAAAAAATGTACTAGGAAACCTATAGAAGACTCTAATAAGAAAATATCTACTTTTTATTTTGCGAAACGGAATATTTAATAGGATTTTTTACAAATATTTTAGAAACAACCGTTATACTGAATCATTTTTTGCTCATTCGGTATAAACCGTTTGTCAATTTTTGGAACAGAAACACGAGCTTGTCCCTAAACTAAATTCAAAAGTTAAATATATCAACTTAGTAATGATATACCTGCGTATGACATATTACTTAATTAATGGTCACTTTATTTTAACCCCTAATGAACAATTTAATAATAGCAGTTCATATATTACAATTAAAGTTCGTTTTAAGTACTATTTAACGGTTTATTACTCATAAATTTACCCATGTAGGTCTACTTATTATCACACTTTAGTGAAAGTATTATTTTATGTAAACGTTAAAATTTAATTGAAGGTAAATAAGTATAGCGAAGATAGTTAAAATCAGTATAAAACGCTTTCGTTCCAAAGCATCACTGTCCTACAGGATGTATTATCCCATTTAAATTTAGATTATTTCATCACTTTCTAACTTTCACCTTGGAAAGCTTTAACTATTTTTATTCCTCTTAAATGCTTACACTTAATAGGAAGCTTTGTGGAACCTGATAGTCCCGTCACATTTTAATAACAACCTTACCGAAAATTAATTTTTATCCCAAACTTAGTTCCGTTATTTATTTATCAATCACGTAAGTGAAACTAAGTTTAAACAATATATTGTCTACAATTTTCACGGATATCACTTGTTACGGGAAGATCGTGACGACGGCTATACTGGAGTCTCAATATTTATTAAAAAAATATTAAATTTGAGGTTCTGGAAATAAAATTTTAATAATGAATTACTCGAATGTGGGATTAAAATAAAATATAACAACAGCAATTTAAATTTTCTATACAGATGCTCACAAACCAAAACTAAAACTGAAGATTGGCACAATTTATTCTCACAAATTAACCACCCTTGCATTATTGGAGACGACATGAATGCGAATAATTCTATATGGGGTTCTGCCAAAAACGATTCTGTAGGTCAACAAATTTTATATACTGTACATGATATAGATTTAGTAGTAATGAACAAGGGCGAACCTACTTGTCTAACTCGTCCTGGGAGCCTTTCTATGATTGATATTTCTTTTTGTTTACCTCAAATATTTAATAAAACCAACTGGGCGGTAAGATACATTAGGTTCAAAAATAGACATCGAAAATACAGACAAAAATAATGATATAATTTACCCTAAAAGTAAATGAAATTTAAACAAAGCAAAACGTCCTTTATACACACAATTAATGGAAACATACATAAATGATAATCCACTTTATGCTTTAAATACTAGTGAAAAGTACAATTATTTAATAAGTTGCATTGAAAATGCAGCTCACCAATCCATCCAAAGCCAAAAAACGACCTCCTCCTCCTCTTTGGTGGGATGTGGAGTACAACCAAACTATTAAAGATAGGAAAAACGCCTTAACTCTTTATAAGCAAACATCTTCTTATGAAAATTTTGTCAAATGTCAGGAAGCCAGTGCTCGTACTAAAAGGTTTTTAAAGCTTAAAGCTAAACAGAATTGGATCAAATAGTGTTCCTCTTTAAACAGAAAAACTCCATCCACCGTTATCTGGAATCAAGCAAAAAAATGGAAAGGAAACTAGTAAATAACCCCAAATCCTCATCCCTAGAGGATATATGGTTAGACGACTTTTACAATAAAATTGCACCTTCGTTTGTAAGCACCCCCATACCTAAAGATACTAAGGTTACTAATTCTAATAATTTCCTATTACTCCCTTTTTTTCGAACAGAAATTAATCTTATAGACCCATATTATTGCTTTCATGTGTCCTTAAAACTCTAAAGAGGATGATTAAGTTTAGGTTTGAATGGTGGTTAATGCTTCCAGAAAATCAGTATAGTTTCAAAAGGGGTTTTGGTTTAATGGATGCCTTAAGTACTTTGGTAGTAGATATTCAAAAGAATTTCTCAAGAAATAATTATTTACCTGACCTCTTCCTTGACATCTAAGGTACATATGATGCTGTGTATTTGCCACTCCTGTTAGATAAAATGATTAAAATATTTCATATCCCAAAACAATTTGCAATCAGTATTATAAATTTTTACATCAACAGATTAATTTACTTGCGAACAAATCAATCTGTCCTAGGCCCTAGACTTAATAATAAAGGGTTACCTCAGGGATCTGTTTTGAGCCCTGTTTTATTTAATATGTACACAACTGATTTACATAATATTCAAATAAATAATACATTATTATTTAATATTGTACAATATGCCGACGATTTCTGTATTTATACTGAACACAAAAAAATTGATATCGCCTTAGAAAACTTAAAAAATGGCTTTCAATTATCAGTTAACAAATCTATGATATGTATTTTTACAAGACACAATTCACCTAATATTTCATTAATAAATATTATAATTTATTTCTTGGCAAATATAACACCGTTTTTATAAATATTGTTGGGAGAAAGATTTCATTCGATTTAATTAATAAATATTAGTAGTTGGCTCTTTGACGATAGAATATCGTTTCTTTAAAGGAAATTGAATATGATTATTCGGATTTGTTCAACCTAAAAAAAAATTAAGTTTAAGCTAACACCTTACAGATTAAGTATATATAACATTAATCTAAGTGGATTTACCCAGTTGGGGATAATTATACTTATCCTAAAAGGGGCAGCTTCTGATCTCCGGTAAGCATTCTTCATTTTCTTTGGTGTGAAACTCTTTATATTTTATACACATTACTTTTAGGCCATTAAGTGTCGACATTAAGTCTCGACAATATCTAGCTTTAGTCATCTAGCTTCTAGTATTACCAGATATTATTTAGTGCTCACGTGCCGTATATTGGATTGGTGGCTGGAACCCACTTCTTCCTTTACCAGCACTTGGACTGCGAGCATTATATCATAGCTGGTGTAGCCGTAGACGTTGCTAGGAACCGATATCGACAAGTAAGAGCTTTCCAATTTTGCATTGATAGTCCGTTTTGATAATTCTTCCTTACCGAAATAGTAAAGTACCTACATTTTAGTTTAATTCCCGATACGACCGTTAAATAGTTATATTTTGGTACGACCGCTCTTAGAATTTTTCCCTTTGCCCTTTATGAATTACATAGTTTTCTTTATTAAATCTTAAATATGTTACAAGAATTTGACATTATTATACCCATAAACATTTTTTGGTCCATCAGATCGATGACAACTACGCACGTCACTTCCCAAGGGTTAATTTAAAAGAAAAAAATATGGGGAAAGCACTGTTACCTTGTCAATACATAGGTGAAACTTTTAGAATAGTTTTTTTTCATTTAGGCCTTTGTTTTTCGTCAAATGAGAGGTATATTTCTAAAAGAAGGTTTTTTTATACAAATTTGTAGACATTGACGCTTAAATTTTTTTTCGACCATAAGGGCAAATGTAAATGATTTTTTATTTAAATAATTATAAAAAAATACTTCCTACAAAGACCTAATTGAGCATTAGAACAAAAATAAGCATTTTTTTATACGGTGGTATCAATAACACGATTTTTTATAATAATGCCCTTTTGCACACTCTAATTATGTATTACCTCCGGAATAAGGGTTAGCTTATCATGTACTTTCGTCCCTGAAAAATTCAGCTTGTGACACCGAAGTGGGAGGCAAAGTCAAAATAAGTTTTAAACTACACCATACTATATACCTATTTAATTATTTTCGTTTGGTTTACAAAACTATTTACATATATTTAAAAAGTTTAACAAATTCAACCTATTTTATTGCAACTGAACCCAAAAAAATTTGAATATTAGTTATAATAAATTTAACTAAATTAGATGTAATTTCACCAAAGAAGATGTAAAGGAAGAGGTGCAAATATGGAATACCGTTTTGTTTGGTATACAAAAATTTTTTGTTAGTGAATAGATTTAAGCCAAATTTAGGGAAAAGGTACTTTAGAAAATTAGACACCAAAATGTAAAAGCAACTGTGTAATTATCTTAAACACTTTTTTCAAAAAACAAGTTAGAAAAAAAAAACTACCAAAATTCCCACCTTAGAAAAGGAGGGGAAAATATGGAATACTCTATATATCTACATATTATTTGCACCAGTCACAAATATATTTGTCTTTTTCGGCACCTCCACACCAATTATGAGCCCGTTTTAAGCACATTAACATTAGACCC